GTTTTGATCTGTGCTTTTCAATTGTGTGCAAAATTTTACTTATATGCTCTCTGCATTTAATAATGTTGTTATTTATGGATTGCATAGCATTCACAACTGGTTGAAGAATACCATAATATCTTGCAATTATGCACATACAAATTATAAAAACGCTTCTACCAGCTGCACTATGTAACTGGAATGCAAGTTTCCTTGTGGCACCATTTCCCTCCACGCTCAACTTTTCTAAGCCTTCAACTATTTCACAATAAAACTTTTTGAAATCGCTAATACTTTGATACTTTTCTGTCCAACCAGTCTCACAAAATGAATGTACATTAGGAGCGTATTTTCTGCGAGTAACTGACTCTTTGAAAAAACTTATTATATCATTGATAGTCGAAATACTATTTCGTATTTCGGGGACTGAATTCAGGTCATTGACCACCAAATTCAGTCTAAATGAAAATATAAACTTTTTGTATATGTTTGTTTTAAAATTTTTTGTACACCACCAATTTTGCCTGCCATCGTTGCACACCCATCAAAACATAGTCCTACACATTTTGCCGGATCCAAATCTAACTGTGTAACAAAACCTTTGATATTTGCTGCTATTGTGTCTGCATCCATCGATGGTAATTGCACAAATCCAACAAACTCTTCCCGAATTATTGGCAAATTTGTGTCGAAAAATCTGATACCAATACTAAAATACTGTATACAGAAGCTTTTTTAACATCCTTACAAATCTTTTCTTGTAACATATTTGCTGCAATACTGAGTATATCGTTTTGAATTCGTGGTGACATATAAGTAGCATTTTGTTTTCCTCCTTCAATGTAATTTTTTAATACCTCGTCGCCAGCAGATATTTTTAACTTAATTAAATCATGTAGAATACCTTAAACAATATGTACGATACGAATAAATTAAGTTAAAAAATGTTTTAATATTACCTTCGTCATTCAACTTTCCCCGAAGAGGAAGGTCATGCGTTCCGCAAAACATGTTAGTTGAAATTATTTCTTTTAAACATTTTCTGTTTTCTGCAACAGTTTTTGCGTGCCCACATTGCATCTAAAAATCAACAGGTGTTCCTTTTAAAAACAACTTTGCAAACTGCGTAGCCTCTTTATGCACATTTGAAGAAGCATGAGATTTGCAGTACTCATGTACATTTTTAAATTTTGTGAAAGGGCGCACAACAAATGAAGAAACAATTCCTGGTTTGTTTGGTGGCTTAAACAGCACACAGTGTAAACAAAAAGCTCCTTTAAGCCTGCGGGAATATACCAACCACGGTGTATACATGTCCAACCAGACTCTATTGAACTTGCGTTTCAAATGTGTCGCATCATTTGAAAAATTATAATTTTCGTCGGGCTTCCAACAATCTGTTAACAGCGTCCTTCTCTGTGCAGCAGACATAGCATTCGGAATGTTAATCCACTTACCAATATCATTAGGATGACAGTCATCCATCGTATCAGTTGCAGCATCGCTATCTTCGTTCGAGCTGCTTCCACCTGGGCTCAGCTTTCTTTTTAATTTCGCTACAAAATTCTCGCTTAAATATAACATTTTAAATTAGTAAGAATAAATTATAATTACCTCCAGTACTGCTAAAAAAGCTTCGAATATCCATATTTTATTCTTTTTCCAATTGAAGTTAACAACGCGATTTTCAAATCCTTTTACTCCTTCTATTAAACAGCTGTTTAGCAAAAAGCAGTTTTGCAAAACAAAATGTTTAGCACACTTTCAAATGTTCATGCCAAAAAGCTTATACAACGTTTACACTTAAGTAATTAGTAATGATTTCAAATACTTTCTTGTATAGGGTTTAAATCTCAAATTCTCCAGCGTAATCATCGAAACCTCTTTAAAAAAAAAAAACAAAATGTAAAATTATAACTGGTAGATATTGAAGAAAACTTGAAGATGATGTTTATATTTAAATAAAGTAAAATTAACCAAAATTCAATTATGTGGCTTGTGAAAATTTGACGGTAAACATATATTTTAAAATTTTTGAAAACGAAGGCCCCCCCCCCCCCCCCTGCGTACGCCCTTGGGAAAGTTAGTTGCAGCTTTTTTCACAGATACCTATTCTACTGAAAATGATGTGAAAAAGCTGTAACTAACTTAAGTGTCAACTTTATTTTGACCATGAATGAGCCCCATTATTTACATGTAATATGAGTATTGCACTGAAAAATCATCATTGAACACATTGGTCCGTATGCATAAAAACTAAGCAATTGCTTTTACTTAAAATTTCATACCTTTCACTTAAATTTATTTGAACAAATCGAGTAAAAGGTCTAAGATTTTTAGAAAGAGCATTTGCTTAGGTTATATGCATATGGCATATTTTCTCGAAATAAATGTTCATAAAACTCAAACACAACTTTTCGAGAAAAACCACTTAGCTAACAAGTGCAATTGCTGCTTTTGTACCTTTTTGTCAATGTATCCATCTTTGAAGTGAATTTGCTAGCAAGAAAACTGCGGTTTGTTGCATTGAAAGCAGCATAGCAATCGTTAAGAAATAAAAACAGATTTTTTCTTCGCTTTTAAATTCCGACAACAAATTGCCAAAGAGTACGCATTTGTAGGCTTTTTTTGTAATGTGTCCATCTTTAAAGTGAATTTGGGTTTGTTGCATTGAAAAAAGCGCAGCAACTACAATAAGAATCGTTAAAAAAAAACGATTTTAGCGACCCAAATGCCGACGGCAAATCACCAATGAGTTTGCATATATGCATAGCTTTCACATATTTATTAGATAACAAATCTACGTTTTGGAGTTAGAGCATTCCCTGGCTTATATTTTCGAAAATTAATTTTCATTAATTTAACCAATTTTAATCTTTTTTTTATTAAATCAATGCCGCGAAAAAGAAAATCCAAACCAAAGTACTTAATATTGATACAAATTGACAAAATTGTATCTCCGCTCAGCTTTGTTAACTTGTCGCTCAGATCTGTTAATTTGCCGCTCTCAATTTTCGATTCGAGTGGTGAGCTTCTAGAGCGTTTTTGGTAGTGTTTGACAATTCACACGGCTATTCGTAATTGCTACTTCTCTGTATTAAACATTCTCGTTAAACGTTCTCTGGATATCATACCAGATAACAAAGAATTAGAAAAACTAGTCTAGACATCTACCTCGCCGGAAGTAGTAAAATATTTAACAACCGCATTATTATTACTACCCCTAAAAATATGCACTACGCTCTAGCGGAACCGCACGATATACCATTTCCAGGGACCGTAACGGTTATAAGTTTTATTATAAAAATCACTT